ATTCGTTTATATTCACTTTAAATATGAAAACATTACGGAACAATAAACAAGGTGTATATGTGAAGTAATATTGTGCGACAAATGCCTCCCCTTTTTGAGAGGTTTTCGTAAAAACCAAATGCAGTACATCTAAGACAACCATTAAAAACCTGGAAGTAATAGATGGCTGCTTCGTTTTAATATGGGACTCAACAGTGAGCACCCGCAACTTCGAATCGAAACCAAAACCTTCGACCTCTAGCGCGAACGCTTGACCCCTGGACTAATGTGTAGGAATACGATGGTTTACAAGTTTAACTTCAATCAACCCGCGATTTTGCGCAACCATCTACAGTAAGAACGTTCCTCACTCCCCAGTACAGTTAGGTTCCGGTGGTGACAGCTCATTAAAATTCCGAAAATTTCCTCGAAGTCAGTTATTAGTGAGTGCATGATGGCTTTCAGTGTGGGGTTGTGGAAATCGTTGAATTTCATTGAAATCACCAACCAATCTACACCAGAAAACCCAGATAACACTTGGAATTGCATATTTAAGAATGAAATAGAAAAGCGATATTTTTCGGTCGGATTAATCATTACTAAAGTCCTCAGAAGCCATGTAAGTGAATAGTATTAAAAACTAAGTGTATACATCATTTAAACTCATGTTCATAAGTTAACAATTTCAGTACATACCAAGTGGTATCGTTAAAATTCTCATTATATCTGACGAAATATTGGCACGGATTAAAAAACCCGGTTGACTTTCTCTAAATTGCGTCACTTTTGTCAGTGTAGAATACCTGGTTGATGTTTTCGGGATCATGGTAACCAGTGATAAAGACTTTGTGTTACATAATTCGTAATGGTTCCTAATGCTGAAGCTGCATTAACTACTGCTACCTATACTACTAAAAAAATTAATGTTCCGCATGGTTCTGACGTTTAAGAAAGCCCTGATGTACCTTTCAAAGTTTTCATTGTAATTTTCAGTGCGTTCATTATTGCAATCCTTATTTTTCTTACGGAAATAAAAAAAAAGTTGATTTTCCAATCTTTTCATTCCACAACAGGGCAGTGATGTCACGTATGGATCAAACAGAATTCGATGGTTTCGAATATGTGAATCCTTTGCTCATGTCGTTAGATGAACAAGTGTAAGAGGAATTCTCATTCCCCCCCTCCTTCCTCAATCGCTCGTTGTGTTAATCTATCTACCTTCTTTTTTTTAAAAAAAAATCACTTTTATTTAATACTACCACCATATCTATTAACAAATAAATAAATAGTATTTTATATTGAATTTTTTTAAAAAAAACTAATTTATCGTATACATTCCATATTCATTCAATTAGCAAAATAAAAATTGTTTAAATCATTTACCAATAGTTCAATGTTAAATTAACTTAAGAACATATCAAATGTTAAAATATTTTCACTTCTTTTGATTTTAGGGTATAATTCTTGAAATATTTTCTTTTTATATAAGAAAAAAAAATTGCTTACTTGGAAGTTTATATTATTTTAAGCACACACACACACACACACGTACATATATATATTTAGGAAAATTTATTTTGTTTGTTTATTATCAAACAAGCTTCCTTTATTGCTCCGTGTTCTTTATTGATGAACAAATTTGTTTAATTATTTTTTTTTCTCGCTCAATTAATTCTGATGAAAATAAATGCTGACTGTATTTCTATCTTTTTCTATGTTGTTGTTGTGTTTTTTTCATCAATGTTTACTTATTTTCTCTAATTTTATAATTATGGAATGAGTTTAAAGTAAATTATAATGAAATGTTTATTGTAGGTACTGGTAAGTAGTATTAATATGATTTAAATGATAAAATGAAATACTCTTAAATTTAACACTCAATGAAGATAACTTTCTGATGACTTCTAACTACTTACTACTTTTAAATTATTCCAAGACATAAAACTAGATTGACCAAATTTTTTAAGTAAATAATTAATCAACTTTTTGCACTAAATTTCTCTGAACTAAGGTTTTTATTTTTGAGAAAACACGAGAATTTATTAACTATATCAGTGTTCAGTTACATATTCCAAAATTGACTTATCAAAATAATGGTTCATTGCTTTCCCTTTTAAAAAACTTGCCAAACGACACATTTTAGAGATTATTTTACAAAACCAGTTCATACCAATATTAGCTATTCACATAGAATTCAATTCTAATGGATAATTTTATTGACTAGTAAGTATTCACAAGGAACAAAATACTTTGTTGGTCAAATCTAAGAAACTTAATAATGAAAAACTCCCATTCGTTCATGGTATAAATGCATCTAGCTAGAATTATGAAACCATTCAGTTACACTATTGTATTTTTTTCCTTTGGTTGAGTGATAATGTCAAAAAGACAACAGTGCATTTTTAACTTAATTTTTACTGTTCAACGATAACTATTCTGGAAAAAAAACCGTTTTGAATTGATAACCTTAAATTAGTAAATAATCACTTTGGTTGGGAAAATGAAAGCCAGTCGTTTATTAGCTAAGTCGGTTACGTCATAGAAATTATTTCAAAATCCTCCCTAGTTGCTTTGACCCTAGATATGGGTTTCAGTAATTTTTTTCTCGAAGCAAGTTTTTTTCACTCTTGAGTGTTGTTTGAAACAATCGTTTCATTGTCTTTTATTCTGTATAAATATTCTCTGCAGGATGTCTTTATAAATCCTATTGAAGCGTTAAAGTAGGGAAACTGAACAAGACACATCTTACCAATACTGGAAAGAAGGTTAGTTCATCAAGATACCAAAAAAATGAAGATTTGAGCAAATGTGAGAATTACAGAGGAATCATACTACCTTCAGTACTAGGGGAGGTTTTCGATAGAGTATCGCTGAACCGGTTGAAAGATTCAGTAGACGCCCAACTTCGAAATAAAATGACCAGATTCCTTAACGATCGGTCGTACACAGACCAAATCGCGATACTATGGACCATCGTTGAACAATCAATTTAATGGGATTCGTCACTGAGAAAGCTCTTGACAGCATGGATAGAAGAACCTGCTTCTACAATGTGGTGTATCTGAGGAAATCGTCAACATTCCGATTGAATACCGGTATCAGACAAGGCTACCTACTCTCCCCCTTCCTCTTTCTTCTGGCGGTCGACTAGATTATGAAGACCTCAAAATCTGAGGGAAAGCACGAAATACAATGGACAGACTGGATGCAGCTAGACGATTCGGACTTCGCAGATGACTTGGCTCTCCTATCCCATGCACACGAACAAATACAGGTCAAGACAAACAGTGTAGCAGCAGTCTCTGCATTAGTAGGCCTCAACATACACAAGGGAAAAGTGAGATCCTCAAATACAACACGGAGAATACCAAACTAATCACACTTGATGAAGAAGCTCTGGAAGAGGTGGAAATGTCCACGTACCTACCTGGTCGGCAACATCGATCAACAAGGAGGATCCGATTCAGACGTAAAAGTGAGGGCACATTCCTGCAGTTGAACAATACACGGAACTCAAAACAACTGTCAACTAACATCAAAGTCACAGTCCTCAATACGAACTTCAAGACAGTTCTACTGTATGGAGCTGAAACTTGGAGAACTACCACAACTATGATCAAAAGAGTACAAGTAGTTGTAAACAACTGTCTACGCAAGATACTGAATGTTTGTTGATCGGATATCATCAGCGAAAACCAACTGTAGGAGAGGATAAACCAGATTCCAACTGAGGGAGAAATTAGAAAATGATGTTGGAAGTGTCAAGGACATACATTGTGGAAATCATTAAACTGCTTGACGAAGCAAGGGCTAACTTGGGATCGTGGAGGGAAGCAGAAAAGCGGAAGACCAAGGAACACACTGAGCCAGGAATTGGAAGCGGACACAAATGGGATGAATAGTGACTGGAAAGGATTGTCCAGGATAGAGTAGGATGGTGAGCGGCCTATGGTCCTCCATGAGGGGTAACAAGCGTAAGTAAAGTAGTAAACAAGTCTAATAAACTGTTGAGTCTTGAAGCGCATCGTTATTTCATATTAGAAAAATAGATAAATTCTTTGAAAGTTGTGTGGTTATTTAAATGACATAACGTATTTTGCCCGCCGGGAAAAACGCATACTGGCAATGATGACAGGTAATGTTAAATCATAGCTTTGTGTACAAAAAGTGCTGACAGAAAGGGGATAGTTATCTCAGCACAACGGTGACTGAAAATATTGAGTTCAGAAATGTCAGGTTTTATAAGCAGAGATTAAAAATTCTTATACCACCGAATCGCTCATTGGACATTTTATTGATAGGTGGTTAACGTCATGAGGACGCTAAAAAGCCTGGATTGGCATACAGGATGTCATTTATTATACCACTAGCAATTACGAAACTACACAGATACAAAAAATCTTTGGTTGTCTTTAATAACTCGCCACTAATTGTGGATAAAAACGGAGTACAACTAATTTCTTAAAATTCCCTCACACATTGGTGGTACAAAACACATGGTATATTTCCATACACTGGGAAATAAGTGATCAAAAGTAAATTGCGTGGACTGTATGGTGTAGGACAGAGAGGAGGTATAGTCCAAAAACTGTAGATTGAGGAGCATTTATCCTATTAGCAGGTTTACACTGCTATTATTTTTTTCTATAATAGAGCTGCTTTAAAACACAACCGATAGGGTAATCAAAAAGATATGGGAAGATTAGGCGACCATGACTATCCTCGTTGCTAGTTCACGACAAAGTATACCTATATTACATTGTGAACAAATCTCTGAAGGCGTTGATAAACTAAGTAACCAAAACAATTTTGTGACAGAATGCACAGCCCTATCAACTGAGTCGAAGGCAGACTTACATTCAAGGTAAACCACATAGAAACTGAACAAACACGAACCCATCCTCATTACTGTTTATCATTATTTTTAAACCGTTTATAAAGTATTACGAAGATCAGAGGTAAGAGAACAATACTAATTTAACCATTATTATTAATACTGAAAAACTTTGAACTCATCATACCTCATGAAAAATTCAAAGAGGTTAGTGAATAATAACAAAGAACTTGGGGTTTAGTCAGCTAGCTATCCTGCAGTGACCTAGTACTTAAACGTCCCTACAAGCCCTTCTTAACCTCGGTACGTGAGTCAGTATTCACCAACCATAGAGAACAAGAACATTCGGTAAAAATCGTTCAACTGAGTAAACTGAACTGCTTTTTGAAGTGATTCGTTCAAAATTGTAAGCATCCATAAAAACCACCTGTATCTATGCGACTGAACACAAAAGTTGTCTTACTAAAACTAAGCCTCTAGTTCACCTTTATATTGGTCGTTTGAATCGTCCCATTGATGTTGAGGACGGCAATCGATCAGTCTCTTATTGGTATATGTGCATCCTGTGTGGATTGTCTTAAGTTATAAGTGTATTTAGGTGACCGGTCCCAAAACGCGTAATCTGGATCCTACTGCTAGCCACCATCCACCTCTGCTTACAAACTCCTGGTTGTTGGTGATTATGAGCCAGGACAGCTACAAAACGTCGGACGCGCAACTACTATTTTCGATTCTGAAGACGAAATTCTGGTGTAAGACTCGGCGCCATTCATCGCCTAATTAACTGATTCACATAATTGCATTCACGATACGGCTATACAGAGGAAATTAAACTACAAATCACAAAGATGCCAGAATCCAAATAAAACGCCCACTATGGTTAATAAAACAAAATAGGACTAACTTTGAAATAAATAATCCTCAGTATTTTGATCTGGATTAGCTGACTGTCCAACACCTTCCCAAGGAGATCGACCAGCTAACATCTCAAACATAAGTACCCCTAAGGCCCACCAGTCAACACTGAAACCTAATTTAACAAATATCAAAAAAAAAATTTTACTACTATTTCAAATTATAGTAGTAATGATAAACTATGAGATAAATGGATTACATTATTCACAAACCATTTTGAATTCATATATTTTGAATAATACTTCTGCCATCTGGTTAATACATTTCAGACATCCCCTAAATATTTTTTATTATTAACTTGGTATATATAATGTACAAGCCAAAGAGAACGCAATAAACTGACAGATGAATTAACATCAACGTGACCACACTAACTAGAAATTCTTACTATATACTGATGTTAATCAAAAAGTGTGTAAAAAGGAAAATGTAGAACAATAGCCTAACATTGAATGATGAGATGCCAGAACTAATAGTAATTCAATACTCGTAAACGTCAGTATCACATAGCAGCGGACAAGTGATGGACGAATCCAAAGTAGCATGATTTTCTCGACAAATAACTGTCAAGAAACTAAAATAAACTTAGATAGTATTTACAGAAAAAGGAAATAGTGGAAAGAGGAATTTAATACAAAGCAGATATTCATATATAATGTTCAAAAAGTTGATTACGTAATACCATTAAGGGGAGAATGGATATAGTGCAAAAACAACAGATAAAATATGAAACAATTTTTATCACTGAAAATCTTAATTGGCAACTTAACAACACTGATCATAATTGAGGGAGAAATAGTAGCCAATCCCATTATGACTTAACCTTGGGGTTGATCCTATTTTATCGATCAAATTATGTTACTATTAGTCATCATGGTATCAATTATTTGCATGCTAAAAAGACACGCATATCAGTTGAACCAAACTGCCAGGAGAAATGTTGGAATTACTTCATTTTAACTTTTACCTCACATTTTTGCATATATCCAGATTTAACTGTTTATGAATCGATTACATCAAGCACTGTATTAGAGGCAACTGGAAAGATGCTTTATTTTATTCTCAGAAATATTCGAAAAGAATGAATAGCAAGAGACCATAAAGAGGGATACTTTATCAAGAACCAGAGAAAGATCTTAATGAGTACAAAAGAGGCATTACACAGTTGTCAAAAGTGTTAGTGAACGGGATGAAAGAGCCAATAGACGATCAACTTGAAAACCAACAAACTGGATTTTGTAGGCATCGATTATGAATCAACCGAATCACGACACTGTACATCATTATTGAATAATCAATTGAAAAAGGAACTTATCACTAAATATCGACTTCTTTGGTTATAAGTAATTGACAGCGTGAATGGGGGGACCTTATGGAATCTTTAAACTAGGGGGTACCTGGGAGGACCGTCACCATTATACGGAACTCCTACGAAAAGCTGAATTGCAAAGTTTTGCAAGAAGAGCAGCTCACAAATACATTAAATGTGAAAACCGATGTAAAGCAAAACTGCCCACTCTAGCCTTCCTTATTTTGACAGTTATCGATTGAATTATGACGAACTTCATATCTCAGAAAATGCAGGGAATATGGTAGACACATTGGATAAAGCCGGATGACTTGTACTTCGCAGATAACTAAGCCTATCTATTTTGTATACAGCAACAAATGTAGATGAAGACAGTAAGTGTAACAGCGACTATAACAGTAGTGGGTCTTAACACTAAAAAGGAGCAAAACCCTTGAAATACAACACAGGGAGGAGTAGTAACCGAATCACTGCTGATAGCGAAGCTGTGGAATAGGTGGGAACCTTTACGTACCTGCGGAGCATTATTGATAAAGAAGGAGGATCTGTTGCAGATATAAAGGCATACATTGGCAAAGTAAGGGTGACATCCCCACAACTGAAGAATATCTGAAACCCAAAGACTCCCAAACAAGATCAAAGTCAGAAACTCTTCTATTGTATATAGATTAAACTCAGAGAGCTACCACCACTGTCGCCAAAAAAGTACAGATATTTATTAACAGCTATCTATGCAAGATACTCCATATCCATTGGTCAGAGGTCATCAGTAATAATCTATACTGTCATTTGAGGAGATTAGGAAAAGACACTAAGAGTAGATAAGACAGTTTAAAAAAACCGCACAAAATTGGATCATACGGCAAACCCCAACTTGGAATCTCTAAAGCATAAGTAAAAGAGGTGAACCAAAGAACACAGCACCGGGGATGGGATGAAGGTACCAAAAGGATGAACAGTACTTGCTAAAAACTGGAAACAAGAGCTTAGGATAGAATTGTTTGGAGATCATTGGTCGGCCCCCAGTACCTCGAGAGATGTAACAGGCTCAAGTAAGTAAGTAGTACACAAAATGAGTTATTTAGTTATAGTTATTTTCATAGCTCCGTAAAACTATTCGACTTTCTGCAAAATATATTTATCTAACCTCACATTCCTTAACATTTCAACTTTTTTAAACACACATTAGACTGTTGAATGTTAGTTAATACAATAGAAATTAGTTTTGAATAGATCTATAAGTATAGATTAATTGCTATTTAAAAAGCATTTTAATGATAAACTGAAAATTATAACAATCACCAAGTTCATTCATAAAACATGTTCTTTATTTAATTTATGTGAACCATTCTTGAAAAGCTTACTCAAATCTCAGTTGAATACTGATTCATTTAGAAGTCTATAATACTAGCAAAATCGAGTCAATTTTATACCCGTATATTAAAAAAAAGAATAAATATCAATAACGAAAAATTCGAAGTTAGTTTGGGAAAATATTAGGGTCACCTTAATCAATTAAAGTGGATCATTAGATTATAAGACGTATTTATTATGGAAGAGATAATGTTACTAATCAATTATACAAATTGAAGTTCAACATTTTATAATGGTAGTAATCCAAATACCTTACAATTTAATGTCTGCAACAAAAATCCAAATGATTTAACTCATAAGTCACTTTAAATGATTTACAGACTGATTGATGAAAGAATATATTATCTAGATAAAAAAATATTAAATGAATAAAACTCTATAATAGTAGAATAGTGTATATTCATTTATTTTATACAGTCTCTTCAAATGTTTACAATTTAAGAATAATTGTATTAATACACTTGGTATTGTTTTACTTGAATCTTCTGATTGATGTTTTAGGACTGAAATCGATCAGTCTCTTATTGGCATATGTGCATACTGTGCGTATGCCTCGATATTGCCTTAACTTACAAGCATTATAAGCAAGTGGCTATCAGGACTCAGTAGCTAAGTGGATAACGTGATGGCATTTGAGGCGAACGGTACTGATTTCGAGTCCCAGAGTGAACATCAACTCTGAGATGCAGGTACATCCAGCCGACGAGTCCCAAACAGGACGAAAAGCGAGTCCTGGATTCCAATTGTATTAATAATTTCAAAAACAATGTACATACTTGGTATCATTTTATAACAGGAAAGCTTTTACCAATGAAAAAAAGTAATAAATAGAGATAAATAAATTCTTCTTTATTCTTGTATTTTATCTTAACTTAGCCTGTTTTATTCACTTTTAATCAATTCATGTTTTTTTTAAGTATTATTATTGTGTAACTTTTGACATTGATTTTTCATTTCTAGAGGCCTATTTTCAGGTGTATTTCAGTTGTGTTTTTTTTGAGAATGCTAACATGTAAATAAGCAACTATAAGAATATCTCTTGTAGCTTTTCTAGATTAATTAATTCTTTTTTTTACCTTATGCTCGTTGACGAAGACTGTTTTTATGGTAATAAAGTATGTATATCTTTTTTTAAAATAATTACTAAAATTTTTAGGTTATAGGAAGCTCAGATATCTGTAAAATTAATGAATCCATACTAATTTATCTCGATTACTGTCTTTATTTTATTCACATATAAAAAGAAACTCACTATAACTTTCTCCTTTCAGTATTTCAGGAGCTATATAATTCGGTGTACCACAAAATGTAGTTGTAGTCATATCTCCGATGATTCCTTCCTATTAAATAAATAATAATTTAGATACGATTAATAATATATTATTTATTAAGTTGGATTGTCTTGTTTTATATCTTAAATAGTGTACTATATGCTTAAAACAAGCGAGAAGAATTTGTAGTGCACAATCAATGTTAATAATACTAGCTACTATCACTTAGTTTTAGGCAAATACTTTAACTAAGTAGTAGAATAAAATACTTATTTTAACACAGCGTTTTATTAGAGTTGAGAATAATAATTCAAAATGAGTTAGTAACGTACTGATCGTCGTCTATGTCATAACTTCCAAAATATGATTTTGAAAGTGAATAAATTGTCACGAAGTGATATGCTCATGAGTATATGTCTTTAGAATTCTTACTAGCTGAGAATCTAATTAAAGAATTAATTGAATATATTTCTATTCATTTGATTTACGTTAGTTATATCATGGAAATACGTAACAAACTTAATGATGCTAACTGATCATATCAAATAAATTTAATAAAAACATTCAATTTATCTAAACTTCTAGATTACCTATTTTCCAACTTTTTAAATAATATAAGGAATCTGTTCCGCTTTTAATTTGATTTGAATGACTAACCATGGATGTGTGGCCCAGTCAAGAAATGGGATTAGTCTATGGATTCATTGTGAATTGAACTCAGGCATTTAGATACGTGCAAACAACCTAATTGACGTCCCCATGATTATCAAAACCGATGGATGGAGACAATAGGTGATGTGGCTTAGAATCGATCGTAATTATAGTGTTTTCACTATTCATCTTCCCTTAAATCTTAAGTTTCTAAATTCTCCGTGAATTTATTTTACTAATTTTATTTTAATATTTTCTTCGAACGTATCTTCGGTGCCAAATCTTTTCGACTACTACTAATAATGTTATTACCTCCACCATTTTGAGACTTTCTTTAACAGTTTCATCTAGTTGTGTCATTGGGGTATGGAATCTTTGAACCAATGTACAGATGTCCCAGGTTCTACGTTGTGTATGACTGACTGAATATCAACTCTGATACAGTAATGAAGGAAATAACTACATGTATAATAGCTTAAAGAAAGTTTTACTGTTTCATAAAAAAACACACTGAGCCAGGAATTGGAAGCGGACATAAATGGGATGAATAGCGACTGGTAAGGATTGCCCAGGACAGATGGAGTATGTTTGTGACTTATGCTCCTCCGCGGCGGATAACAGGCATAAGTAAGCGAAGCTCTGAGGTCCAAGGAATGATTGCGTACAATTGCATGAGTTCACACCATTGACGTACCCTGAAAGTAAATGGAAACTGTGGTCCAGTGTAGCTTGTTTTTTATTAGTTATCCAACCGATTTGAGTCAGCAATGAAAGATTGTATCAGTTAGTATTGTTAGAAGCCTAATTTATATATACTTTGTTTTGAACAGATGATTTACCGTCATTTTCCCAGTTACTCTATCATTTGTGTATGTGCGTGTGCTTATTTATCCATCTCTGCTTATAAATGTCGAGTCAATTTTTAGTTAGATTGAGTAGGATGAGAAGCCTCTCTCCAGGCTGCATCTCGTTGTCTGTCCGAATAAATGAATCCCCTGAGTAAATTCTTTCGATTCGTCCTTGGCTTTTGTTACCACTTCTAAGAAGTCGGAGTTAGCCTAAATATAATATACTATTCCCAATTAAACGAAGAATTTGTTTCATGATTGATTCACCTTGTGCATTGGAGTCATCACATTGCCACCGAAAGTTGACTTGAAACAAACAAGCATTCAAAAACCGGTTAACAGTTTGATATGTCCTATGAAGAATGAGTTGACGATCTTGCTATATTACACTGGATGGATCCATAGTATTATTTCCTTAGCCATTAAGGTGCACTAAGTTAAATGGATTAGTATCCGCTGAAATGTGGTGTTTGTATGAACTAATGATTGTTGTTTACTTGATTCCTGATTGATTTCGAATTTTAAATACAATACTTTCGTTTGTGCTCACCTAGTTTTATTTGGCTTAAACCGCACTGTTTCAAGAATTCCTAGTTAATACAATAATTCGAATACTTCTAATTATCATATGAATGTAAATTTTAATATCTATCAACTATATTGGTGTTTGTCATGTAAAGTTATTTGAAATACATTTCTTCAATAAATTGTTCATTAAAATAGACAATTTTTTTAATGAATGTTATACTCTTCAATATGTTTACCTGATTGAAATTGTTTAATCAAAATTATAATAAATTAGCTCAAGAGAAATGCTTGTCGAAAACACTGAACTGTGTTATAAAGTTTACGAAGAACTCATATTTCAGTTGTCTGAAGGTTCTTATTTATCTTTTCAGACTAAACATAAAGTCAATATTTTTATCTCTAACTCAAGTAAAAAATTGGTAAGACTAAATAGAATCTTCACTTATAAATAAACTCAATTGTTGACTTTATTGAGATAATATTTTAATTATTAGCAGTCCGATATTGATATGATAGTATTTGCTCTGTTTTCGATGAATCAAATTCTTCATTCATGTGAGTTGGAATATTCCTTACGACTTAAACCTATCACTTCAAATAGTAACTGAGTATTATCTTCGAGCTATCGAATTACATATTTCGTAATAAATATAAGTTATCTTTAATATCGTATTACTTTCCGGTTACTATCTTTATTTGTATCTCAGATTTTTGTGTGGATAGTTTTCTTTCACCATATAATTTATTGCAATGGCACATCAATTAATGTTAGCTAATAATAGATTTCATTGTACACTTTTCTTCACAAATAATGATATTCAGTTGTGCATAAATCGTATTCAATAAGTGTGTTTTCAGTTAGAAAAATGTTCCAAATTTTTATGAAATAACCACAAAAATAGTTAACTTCAAGTCAGTAAACATTTAATCTCTATTCACGCTAGTGTAAGTTATTCATGTTTAACCTTTCTCCAATTTACTCCTCTATTTCTTAACATAATAAATTCTTTTATTTGAAAAATTGTCTAAAAAACTGTTGGGATATTCAGGAAAATATCCCAAAAATTATCCTGTTAAGCCTAATGCTATCCTTGGACATGAAATGGTATCATCTTATTGGCCAATATTTATTTGACGTGTCATTTTCCTGTTGGCCAATATTGTACAATGTTATTTTCTATTTTATGGTACGTTGTGGTCTGCTTGACTGGTATATAAACAAAGTATGTTTGAAATATAATGATTCATATCTCCGAGGCTGTGACTTGTGTTCTGGACTCAACTGGCTAGGTTAGACAGGGAAGCGGGGCCAATCAGAACCCTAGGTCGTTCTACGTGTTTGCGCGTCTTTGGTCCGATCAATAATTCGCTACCCCTTAATCAGCAGCATTATTTTCACGTTATAACAAAAACCAAACAGTTTAATGTTACGTTACTCAAGACAGCGTTTGAATTAAAGCTTAAATCATATTCAGTCAGTCAGCTACAAAGTAGGACCAGGCACATATATGCATCGGTCCAAGTTGCCATACCTCATTAACACAACAAGATGGACACCGGATTCATATAAGTGGTTAACTCAAAGGTGGTAATATATAAAAGAAAGATTGCAATAAGGATATGGTACAAGAAGAAAGAATTAGTTCGTAGAAAGAAAGATATGAAGCAATTTTAATCTCATAGTTTAAGAGAAGACAGAGTGTATACACCGACGCCATTGTGACCGATTCTGAGCCATGTCACCAAGAGTCTCCAACCATTGGTTACGATAGTCACGCGGACCCCAACCAAGTAGTCTGCATCTACAACATTTTAAAATGAATCAATTAACTTTTTGGTGGATTTCTGTTCTCTGAGCTGGATGGTTTGGTCGTGGAGCTTTCATCGTTATTCTGAGCGACATCACCAGCAGAAACTACAGGTAGAAGTGAAGTGTTCGAATTTCTCATAGCTTGTCCTGCAGACCTCAATCTTGATTGGTTGTTGTTGAGCTTTAACCTGTCATTGCTTACTTTATTTTGATTGTATCTCCCACTGATTTATTTTTTGGTCATATATATATATATATATATATATATATATATATATATATATATATATATATATATATATATATATATATATGGAATGAACACTTTAGATGATGTATTTTAGGATCAAAAGAAATAGTTCTCCAATACTAAAACTATACTTGAGGAATGAAAATTATTAAAATTAAAAACCAAGCGTTCAGCAATTTCAACTTTTTTAAGTGCCCGCCTACCTTTTTATTTATTTAGTTGAATAAATAAATATTGGCATAAGAAGGCGTCTTAATACATATGCGCCACACAATAACAGTGAGATTGTAAAAAGATAGAAAATGTAAAGTGCGTATGATAAAAAGAACAACGAACAGAAATTAGTGAATGAGAGTGAAATAATAATCATAATAGTAATAGCAATAATAATAGGTGAAACAGTTCAATTACCAAAATACAACCAGAATGAGTCCCTTCAGCTAAGGAAGGTCCATTCATCTTTATGAAGTTGTAGAATAACTGCTACTGACTTCCACTCTGAGCAATATCCGATAACGTTTCTAGTCACTCTGTCGCACCATCTCTAGGACCCCAACCAATGAGTCGTGCAGGACCAACAGAAGCCAGTCCTGTACAGTTTTCTTTCATACCACGACACCATGCCATACACTGGCCACCTCCCTGCCTTTCCAACCCAGCGTCGGCGAATAATCCACAAAGTAGGGCATGTTCAAGCCGCCAAAGTCGATGTTTCAAGATGGTGACACCGGTTGAATTGCCATCTTTGTTCCCGAATACGAGACGCCGAACCTCTGCGTTACTAACATGGTGTTGCCACTAGATGTCAGCAATCCTTCGGGGACAACGATGATCAAACACAAAGAGTCCTCTAACATCCTCAACTCAGGGAGGTCAGGTTTCACAAGGACAGGACTGCTCTCCCCAACGCGTTGTAGATCTGACCTTTTGCAACCAGACTAACATCACGAAGGCGCCAAAGATGGCCCAGATCGGTGTAAGGCACTGTGGACTTCACTATACGTGAACTGATCTCATCACTCGGGCCACTACCAGCTATTACGCAGCTACCCAGATACACGATCTTCTCGACTACTTTAACTGCTCATTACCAAAATTGAGTACATGTATGGACCTTTGCTAGTCTTGTAAAATTGATTTTCTTACGTTTTAAAGCCTTTATCAAGAGAATCGCACCAATTGCTTTCGCATGCTAGAGCTATTGAGTCAAACGGAAGAACAGGTAAATTTGTGAGCGAAATAATGTTGAGGCTTATAACTTTTTAGCTAGAACTTGATATTTCTTATTTGAAACTAAGTCACGCATGCAATATTTGAAATCGGTACTTGATGTAGAGTAGTCTCAACCAACAGCTTTGACTTACTCAAAGCACATAAAACCTAGTACAGGGAGTACAGCCAAAAAAATAGAACGCGCTGTTCGAAATATAGAGACAACAGTATGAAGAGGAAAAAGGAATATATTCAAAGGGAAAGAAGTAAATAAGTGACCAATAGTAGTATATAATAGACGGCGCAGTTCAGCTAACAATACACCAAAGATTTCTTCCAGTTAAAAAAAACTATTTTTATGAAGACCAAGGAAAAGAAAACTGACCAACTCGGATTTTCCCACCCAATATCAATAATTATTGCAAAATGTGATATCTACTAGGGTAACATTCGTGATACAACGCCAAGTCACTACGGCTGGCATCTCAAGATGGTGACACCAAGTGAGTTATCGTTACGGTCTGAACACGTTATCAAGCCTAAGTAATCAACATCAAGTTTTCTTCAAAGCCGTTTACCTCCTGCATCCATATTTAACTTTGTCATAGATATTCTTTTGAAGATAACGGTCTCATTGTCTAACTTTTCAGGGACTGGCTGCTTATCAGGAAATCTACTTTTTGACTTGAAATATACAGATGAGACAATCCTGTTTAGCGAATTTTGCTCCATTTTACTTTATAGGTGTAGCCATTAAGGAAAGAGGATATTTATAGGTTACTAGTATCCCATCATGTGTCTTCGAACAACTGCTTGTGTATTTTTTGTGAGCGATGTCGAAGTTAGGCATAACATACTAAATAATGTTGAATTACGTATGTCCAACCACCACTTACCTCGACGAATATTGCCTGGTGTAAGAGTTGATCGGAAGAAAGCTAGGGAAAGCCAAACTAAGATGTGGCACCAGTCTTTAAGGAAACTGGCAACTGGACTGAGCCATGTACGCCGGTGTAGACTACCTGATTGGCGTCCGCATGATTATCGTAACCAAAGGTTCAAGATTCTAAGTGACATATCTTAAAGCTGCTCGCAGTGACACAATTATGTTCACTCTTTGCATTAATTTAGAACCTCAGTGTCGAAATTCTCGTATACAGTTTCTCTACTACTACTACTGTTACTTCTGCCACTTTAGTGTTTGTCTTGATAATTTAATCTAGCTGTGCTAATTTGATATGGCAACTTGAGCCAGGGCATGTGTTGGGTTCTACGTTGCAAGCGAATGATTAAAGCTACATTCTTGAATCGAAGCTCTAAGAGCACCCTATTAGGATCTAACACAAGATTAAAGTTATAGAATAAAAGAAGTGTGGAAGATATTCACATGATCTTCAACTAGAAGCATTACATGTTTTGATACCCACTAAGGTAACCTAAATTTTCACACATAAACAGATTTCCGCATTTTTCCATTAGACTGTATAATATTCGAAAGAGAACGGTAGACAAAAGTACTCCAATTATAAACTATTTATTAACTAGTATGCTGAGAATAAAAATAAAATGACATGTTTATGGTATACCGATTAATTTGTAGAAAAATGAACGATTAGTAATAAACAGCTCTCAAAATAGTTGGCGCAATTGTTAGAAAACCAAAGAAAGCCAGGCGAACACAAGGGTCATGCCACCAATAGGTGCTATTCTAGAAAATCGATCATCTCCAGTTAGAGCCACATAATAGCATGAACCAGAGAATAGTAGAGTTCCAGTGGCGAAAAGAGTAGCAGACTGTAATAGATTAGTTCAAATTCATTGAAGTCAGTGATTTACCAAAACAGGACGTCTGAATAAAGGCGTGGTTAGCAAAGCCACCGAATGAACCAAATGATAATAAGCCCCAGTTTTGAAAATTTGTCTTTGTTTATCTTGTTCATCTTTGAAACCTAAAAGTTAAAACTTTGGAGTAAGTAAATCTAATCTTTTTACCATGAGCACCATAAGCGCTCGCAATAACAGCCAATGCCCCAGAGAATCCAGCTAGTCGTACCAACATTGAATCCCAACAAAATGACGGTTTAACTTCAATCACAGGACTAGATTGACCAGTTGTACTGCGACCCATGAGGTTTAATATCCCATTAACGTAAGGCAGGTGTACCATCTACAAAAAGTGGCACTAAATATACAGTAGTATTTCATAAAAGATTATTATTTACAGGAGAAAACGGTCGAAATTATTGAACTGATAGTTCTGAGTTGAATACAAAATATCCGGGTGTATTCGAACACAGGCCCATCAGTATATCCATGAGGCAATTGAAGATGAACAAGATTAAAAATTTTCAGAGAACCACACATGCCATAGTAAATTATGGCTTGTCACAAAGTTCTGTCATACACGATATTTGTTCGGCACTTCAAGTCATGGATAGTACAGGACTTTGATAATCATTTCTTTTATTCCAAACAAAACAACGGATAAATATATAGTCCTTGATTTCAACACAGGCCTTAGGATCGTTTAGCCTTCACAAATTTTTTGTTTCTTGGCTTTGGAAAAAATAGCAAACGACTAAACTATCCAAACTGTTACTTCTGTAGTTGTTACAAAAATACTTAATCATTTCTTAAAAACTGAAACTAACAACTGGAATCACTTTGGTAAGACTACTTCTAAACAATACACAGCCAACATTCCGGTTAACCTGACTAATCATCGTCTTTAAAGATTCTAAGTCATGCACCAGAATTTTGCCTTATTCTCGGTTTGCCACAGTCATTCAGAATTTAGCAAAAGTTAAAGTAATTATGTCTTGTTAGGAATTTGGCTAGATAACAGACAACAGGGACGTAGCTGTCTGGGATTTGAATTACTTTTTTGTTACTGACGTCTTGACTACCAGCTTCGGAAAGTTCTTTGATCAGAAATAAAGGTTGGAAACTTGAGGCAGCTGGTTGCAAAACCTATCATAAAGTTGTGGATTTGTGAATAATGGCATCTTGTGTTCATTATTATCATACTTTTTCATATCCTCCTAACTCACTTTATCAGATTATAAAATTTACTTTTTCCTTAAAAAATGTGGTAGTATATGATTTCTGTGTATAAGTACTTTACAAGCATTCATTTTGAACCTAGAATGGCCGACTTGTGACATTCTGATGGAACGAATAATGGTGATCGCAAGTATGCTTCGGCCGTTCAATCTTACTGGGTGAAGTGGCAACGACAACTCAACGAACTGGGACTTTACCAGATTTGTCTCGAAACTGGAGACACTTGGGGTACTGTTGTAACTTTTTTACCACAAAATCTTGACACTAATAAGATGGATCGCTTCCTCACTTATTATAATTCGTAAGTATTTACGACTTTCTTTCTTAAAAATTTCTGGGCCAAATTCTTTTTATTCCAACGGCATGTCTTGTGGTGACCTGATGCTAATGGGCAATTTCATTTTAAGAGAAACCGTGAAAGATTATTGTTGGAGTGACAGCTAAAATTAAGTGACGTTTACGAATTTAAAACCAGTTCGAAAGTAAATAAAAACCCTTGACTATCAGCCTCAGCTAAGCCTCCAAATTAACCGAGAAAACCCTCAAAACCTGGACAAAGCAGGCCGAACAGTGGATAATAATCCCATCTATTAGGCCAAATACTGAAAAAATTAAACGGCCTAAAACTAAATGACAGACTTTTTTGCATAAAAATGACTCACCAAGAAAACATTTACATATGAATTATTACCACAATATCTGTAGCACTGAATACTAGTCTCCAGGAATCAATAACGAGGTATCTTCAAAGACGGAGGACAGTAATGTAGCGACTTTGTTTACTTAATCCAAGTTATCTATGGGGATCTATAATAACTTTTGCTAGCATCGCTAGCCACGAAAATTGACGGTTAGCGCTAGAAGGTATTTAAATTTCTCTGGAATAGACTATGAACAACACAACCTTAGTGAATTGTTATTATACTACCGTTTCACTAGTCTACTAGTGTACTGCATTACTTGTTGAATCCCACTAATTGAGTGCAATTGTCAATACATACATAAATGGAGGTTAAACGACGGCAATCACTAATAATAAAAGCCCACACAAACTAGTGAGTGAGCTTATAACACTTCAGCAGCTTTATTCTGTAGGTAGAAAATCTAGTCGCGACTTTGTAAAATTACTAGCTTATCAAATCACCAAATCACCGGTAGGCAATAGTGCAGTTAGCGGTTTCGTATACCGTGAGTGAGTATTAATTCATGGAGTACCAATGAATAATAGAAAGAAAACAAACAATAAGCACGAACGCAGTATCTTGCGTTGGATTGTGTTATATTATGTTGCGCATACAATAGAATAGGCGCTTTAATATATTATGCACAATCCTGAAATCAAATAAACAATGAGTAAATTCAAATAGTTGTAGACGGAACAAAAGACCTTTTCGCTTAACGAGCCTCCTTATCTAGTAGCAATGGGTCACCGATGCTTCAGGGTTGAAACTTATGTATATTTGGCGATAAAAAGATAAACAATAATAGATTGAAACTATGTACTAAGTCCTTATGGATATGTCACGTTTTCTCGCGAAGCAGACCTATAAAGTTGCTTAGGCTACCTCATCTGACAACGAATTCCTGAACTTAACTAATTGTAAACAGTGAAAGACGTGCCTACAGCCTGTTCTGCTATGTTGTGTCCCCACATTCTGGGTGTAACCCCCAAGATTTTTGTTGGGATTAAGCTTAAGTAAGTATTTAATAAGATACCTAGGGGTGTTTAAAATGCTATGAGTTATTAAAATATAAACTCTGAGACGTATATACTCTAATGTGTAAACATTCAGTAATTTGGGGCTTTGTTCTTTTTGTTTGAATTAGAGTCCCCGAACAAACTTCGTGTCTCGTGTATTCATATCTTATTGGGGTGAGTGAGGAAACGCTACTTTCCTATATTGTAAACATGGCCAAAGAAAACTGTAAAAGACTTGATGGAAGGTTTTTTCAAACTGGTGAAAAATGATGTGCAGATAAATAAATCCCCAAAACAAATAGGTCTCTAAGTTTTCAACATTGACTCTGACCTCATTAGTTTTAATGGACATTCGGTCACGCGTTCATATAAAATCACGAGTGGATACGTCATGCTACATATCCCTTACAACTGTTAGCCAGTCTAGATTAAATACTCTCCGATAAATCGATAGCCTTTCAAATACACATTCGAACCACATCATTTTTTCACTTTTAATTCGACTGGGTTGGCATACTCCCACTATAAAGATGCTACGTGTAGATACGTTGTCAAACTTCAAATACTTGCTACATCTTCAATGCGCTTTTGCTGAGATCTTGAGTCTGGAACTGAATAACCTACTTTCTTCCCTCTGTATTTAGGATGATCAAATATCCTTGTATACCGTTTTCTCAAAAGGATATTGAGCAACTAATTTACTCAGAAAATCAAAGAAGATAAGATAAATTATCTATCCGAAAATGTTATTTTGCATTGAATATTGTGTATCAGAATTCCTTAGTAGAACATAGCTCCTGAACAACGAATCCCAATCCAAATACCTTTGACAAACCTTTTGTCATGTTCATCTAAGATTCGTTGAGTCTTAATCAACAAAATCACCTCCCGACTCAGATGGCATCCGACAAAATGTTTCGGAGATGCGTGGACCTACTTTGCATCCAACCTTCTACACTCTTCAAGTGTTTCACTATAGTGGCACTGGCCCTTAACCACATAATCCTCAAAGTTGAACAGGAGACAACTGGGATAATACATATTCAACATTTAACGCAGAGAAAAACCCAACGGTGGAGAAGGCGGGAACATGGAACTGAATTAATTCGAACTGATCGAATGCCATGGCTCGGCCTTGCAGGTGTGGCTATCCTCGAATGTTATTATGTACCATTTATTCATAATAAATATATTGTTCTATCTCTGGCCCTAGTGTGTCTTTCATCATATATTGATGACCGTTACTACGCGATGAGTTGGTGTGGACAATAATAATGTGACTTCCGCGTCAGATCTTATAGATTAGGCAGTTACGTCATGGCAAATCTGCAACTTTAGGATTTTGTCTTATATTAGAACAGTACTACTATCAAAGTAGACCATAATTCTACATTGGTAAGCCTGACTAAAGAAACGCAACCTAATACTATTAGTCCTTATTTCCACTTTAACTTTCTCGATCGGTTTTTATTTATGTAAACCCATTATTCTAATAGTCCTCTGGTAATGCTCACATGTATTATCGTAATATTACACTGATTAGTACTCATAACTTACAGGTTCAATCGATATTAAAAACTGGTCATCTATAATAATCATTAGCTTTGATGGTTCGTTAACAAGCTTTATTAGCATTTACATGCTTCAGCGAAATAAACTTGTTTCAACATCAAGCTCTACAAATATGACCCGTAAATAGCGTAAACATGCATTGACTAGAAATGTCAGCAAGGACTGGGCCTAACTCTTCATATTGTTTCTTCACTTAACGTCTCCATCTTTTTTTAATTATGGACTATCCTGTAATATCTTTTCTTCCGATCACTACCTGCCTGATTTCCAATTGCTCAGTTCCATGGCCAAACAGAGAATACGAATGCTGGAAATTTACGGTGAGTTTGAATTACAAATTTCCTGCAATCTTAGAACTCGTTTAGACTGTCCGTCAGGCAATACTATGCATTTGGCTTCAATTAATTTTGGACTTATACAAATTCAGTCTACAACGCTGTATAACCCAAGAATTTAATCAACAGTTACTCGTATACAATACAGACTCGAACATCTGTCTACTTTAAATCTTCATTATTTGGATTCGAACATATTCCGGGCGAGTTCTATATGTACCCTTAACATCATTTGCACGTCGCAACGCAACCTTCGTAAAGCGCGCCAACTGTGATACTGGCTAAAACCGTCTACATTCATATCTTATAAAATATTGAAGATGGCACAGGTATTCAGTGTTTGACAACGATTTTACCAGTAGCATCTTCTAATATAACTCCTATCCACCAAGAGAAATCAAAAGACAGAATCGAGGAGATCAGAAGTTGTATTTGACGGTTGCCAATGTATCGGAATTGTCTGATCTAGTATGGCTAGCGATCGCAGTAGATGTTGAGCACGGCGTTCCTACACATGATCTGGTGTGGATGCACGACCGAGTGCCTTCAGCTAGGTGAGTGCATTAAAACACGTGGTCAGCATCCAATGTCGAAAACCTACAGAGCTATTTATTTTGGGGATTTATTTACCACTACATTATCAACCCAGCTGAACAATTTATTACAATGAAAACTGTATCGTTTGTAACAATATGATCTAGCCTGTCAACTGGCATGCCTCATGTAACAAACTGTGTGTGAATACCTCCGATAACACTGCTATTTTACCTACTGATGCGTTAGGTTGACGGAGGACATTGCCAAACAGTAAGGTAACGGAATTCGACGGATTTCATACAATCCAAACCAAATCCTTCAGTTTGTTTAGTTCAGGCATACTACACAATAGTGAGTTTAGGCTAGAGTTAACCTAAATAAGGCATCCTCCTTCTCGTCCTTTCAATCTGTCACTCCCATGTAGGAAATAGTTATCAAGAGATATACCTAGGTCGGAAATATTACTGTTAGTCCATGCTTCAGATATCATTATAAGTGATGGTTGATATATGGATACAAACAAGGCTAAATCAGTCTTTTCATTTCAGATCGACCTAGCGTTGATAAGACACATATTAAACAAATGACCTACTAAGTTAGAATGGGCGAGAGTATTTCGATTAAAGTTGTCATAACCCTCGCGGGTGTGAGATGAGTTTAAAGTGATGGATTGAATGTTCTTCAATAGCTCGATATTTTAATAGCTAGGGTTATTAGGAGATGTACCAAATGAGCCAGTGAATTTGATTGGAGAGTTTACTCATAAGAAAGGGTGGGATTACTATCTGATAGAAACTGTACGGGGTAAGCAAGTTTGAAATGTCTCGGGCTATATTTTTTAGCAGAGGTGTCACTAGGGGTCGTATCACAAAAAAACATTGTACAGGTTGACTGTGAAGTGTACTGTTATTTGCAAGATAGTCTTGACGGTTAAGCTCGTAACCTCTGTTATGGCTGTTTACGTAGGTGTGAGCATGAGGAGCGTCTGTTGAACGTGACTGGAAGTAGTTACGACTGTTATACATGGAAGCCGTTTTTATGTGGTGGGTTTGTTCTCAAGAGTGTTAAAAGTTTTCTTTCTGAGAGTAATTACAATTGTGACCCTTAGGATGGTAGATAGGGTGTGGTGTGATAAACCTATATTTACCATTCCTATTAATAGTTTTAGGATTTAGGGGATGAGTGGAGTTATCAGCACTCTGATATTTTTTGTTAGTTTGCGCGTAAAAGAGCCAAAAAGTTTCTTCCTCTCTGTGAAATGAATTTAGGTTCATTCGAGTTGACTTGTGGAGTAACTTTAGGAGGAGTAATTTCCAAGTGTGTAGGTTTAGTTGGAAGTGTGTTGTCAATCAGCCCACATTTTATTATTTTAGTGAGAGGACAGCCAGAATTAGACATGTTATGCTTTTTGGTAACAGTTAAAATCCATATCTAATCCAAAGGTTTCTGATCAGCAGGCTCATCTAGATCTACAGAGTGATCTGCCCTTTTGTGGGGTGGTGTATTGCTTATTTTTCGCGTGCTTTAATCAACCTACTGTGTTGCAAACTGTCTCTAGCCGGTTATTTACTGTAATGCTACCATGCAACGTTATCGCTTCACATCTTCTTACACGACGTCGACAGGGAGTAAAATCTGGAGCGACTTTTATACTTTTGTATGGAATTAGTGGGCTAATGTTTTCGCTCAAATCAGTAAACTTTTTGGCATCGTTACAACGGCCCAACTTGAACAGGATGGGGCATGTTGATCTGTCTGTCTTTTTACTACGGCGGATAATTTTGCAGTTAGCGCTCAGCATACCGCATGCTCTAAGGCATTTATCCCTTGGCTTAGATGAGTGTGTGAGATCGGGGAGGCTATGCGCATTGAAGGAAGATATAACTCTTTTCGTCGCTTCTTCAGCCACAAACTCTAAAATGCACTCAGTTTTAGTGAGTTACTCAATATTTCTTTCAGTAACAAGGCCCCAAACCATGACTGCACAAACACCTAATATAACGTCATATCTTACTGCACTAACGTTATTTTTTCTTAATCATTTTACATTTTATTTCTGTTACTAATCGGACGACATATACATAGTCGTTTATTTTGTTGTGTTCGCGAACACTGCTATTTAACTATTTGCGTATTTCACATCTCCTTTATTTTTATTCCCTCATTTTCTTCCTTTCCTTCTTTAAACTCAGTTCAATATTCTTCTCAATTACGCAAAGCCTGATTTATTATTATTATTATATTTTTATTTCTCTCTTTTTTCAAATATGACAAATATAATGCTAACATTATTGAAACTTGTGTATTATTGCATTTTTGATGAAACCCGAAATGGTTTCTTCACAACACTTATGTACCCACAAGATGTTTGTGAATATTAATACATGTGTGAGGGTATTTTGCCTTGGATGTTAACCAGTCTCACCGTTAGTATACTGCGCGGAGAGATAAAGTGGTTGCAACAGGGGGAGTCAGGTAATGATAATGACATTTGTGGATAAGACGCATATTGTTCAGTAGATAAAGGTTCGACATTGTCAGGTATTAAGTCGCCAGCCATAGAGGTTACAGATTTGGGCCTTTTATTTGGCCTAGAAGTTGTGGAAACCTTTCTCTTACTGGAGTTATTGGCCATTATTTGAAACTGGATGAGTAAAGAGCTCTTTGGACCAAATATAATATCTGAGTTTTATTTGTTATCAAGTAACTACCTGGTTAATACAAGGATGAGACTATGAGTATATAATAAATTTCAGATCTATTTAAGACTTAAGTCCGCGATAAGAATAATATTAAGTGGAAAGTGTCCGTCGAAAATTTTTTTCAGGGTAAATGTTTCCGATATACAGGATAAGATGGTAATCTCCGTATAATACACCCTACAAATGAAGTAGTCGACGAAGTCCTGAACGACGTGAAAAAAGTTGCCACTTTCACATTTTGCACCGTGATGATAGTGTAACAGCTTAGGTTGGTTGGTTAAGAGTTGACCCCAAACAACCAAGTATATGCCAAAACAGTATTGTTCAAGTATTCATTCACTTCCTTGTTTTGCATAAGCGTTATATTCCTTATTATCTTATGTTGAATGTTGAGAGCCTTTGTTTGTCTGAACAGATAATCCCACGCTCCACTGTGACCGCGCTAAGATCGAAATAAAGACCTATTCACTACTTGTCTGGTTTCTTCTATCAATAGCACGAGGGTTACTTTAAGGCACGAAAATAGTATAACCAGATTTGATATTTTGTCTCATAAAACGATGCTCTAGTAGAGCAAAACAAAACTTAGGGTCACTACGATCAAATTCCGGAAGTCGGGATTTCGAAGTCATGACAGTGTCTATCCTCCAGCTTTTTGGTTTACATTGAGTCTGATATGAGGTATATTACCAATATAGT